CACTACCTACTTACACCAAATGAAGGGATTTTCCACGTGAAAATCTAATACAATCCTTATACAGGCTCATCAATTTCCTAAAAAGACCTCTATATATTTTTTCCTTTGCTCACTGCCCATTCTCTCCCTTAGTCTCCTTCATTTCTTTCATGAAATGAGAGAGTATTTCCCAATCTGACCTTAGAACAAGTAAAATATTTTGAAACAAATATTGTTTAACAATCCATTTACTTAGATGTAAGATGTGGCTAATGGCACCAATTCAATTCAAATTAAGCTGTGCAACATACTTTCATGGCATCCATGTACTCCCAGACGTCATCAATTACATATGTACTAAGAATTTGATCAGTTGAAAACTCTCGCAATATCTGTAACATTCTACTAAGATGAACCTCCGAGGAATCATCTTCATCACCTGCAAAAGAAAATTCTGATTGATGCAATCATGCAAGCACTTATATAGATGCAGGTAAAGCAAATGTAATGAAACATAGTTAAGGAAACCTGTAGATTGGGAGCTATTAAATTTCTGAGCAATCAAATGATCATACACTAGTGCCCCAATGGCACGCCTGATCTCTGGAGGCTCATCAATTAATAAGTCATATAAAGAACCTAATTCTTCATCAGGAACAAGTTGATGTCTGCAGGACATAAGAAAGACAACTTATTAAGCAACAGCCCCCACAAGTACATGCGACCTTGCAAAAATAGCTATTATGCTTTCTTCTACTTTATCCCAAGCCCCCACCCACCACCTGGAAAAGAACAATCAGTGATTCCTAATTAGAGCAATACCTTAGTAGTTGTTTCACAAGTCCAATAGCACATACTGCCACAGAAATATCAATGTCATCAGCAAGCTCAAGCATCCGTTTATAAAACCTCTCGGTGAAGAGGCCAAGGGATGGGACATTATCATCCACTTCATAAAGATTTTGTAGCGCAAGGACAGAAGCTTTTCGTACACCAGAACTCTTCAAATATAACCAAAATATCAAGCAAAAATGAGTTTTCTGTACCTCAGGCGATTTGCAAACAAAACACACGATACAAAGCTTGATTAGCAGAGCAGCTTACTTTGTCATTCAGTGTCCATCCCAGATATTTCAAGTACAAATCCTGGAGGAACAGTGATGGATATAACAAAATCCAAACACCAAGAGACTGAATGCATGACATTCGGATTTCAGGATCTATATCTCGGTACCGGTGTACAAATAACCTATGGAAAGTAATATGTATAATGCATTTAAGAGAGCAAGAACAAGAAGTGTTAAGAACCTCTGCATAACCTACATCAGATGACAAAGAAAAACCATGCACTCTACATGGGAATATGTATAGGTGCATTCACAGATATATAATTTTTGTATAGTAGTTTAAGTTATAAGAAAAAACCAAAAAAGAAAAGAGTGAGTTGAATTGAGGCAAGGAAAAAGCATGGCTTGTCTGCAACATTGATAAGCCAGTGATTGAGGGGAAAAAGATCAAACCCAGAGGAACCTGGCACTAAAATTCCTTATCTGAAGTGAACCTTCACACACAGTGCAGTTGAAACTAATAACACTTGTAACAGTCAAGCCAACAACACTAGAAACATTTCATTAGCGAATTCAAACATCCCATTACCTAGAGAGGCACACAACCAAGACCACACTTACAGCAGTTATAGAAAATTAACTTCAATACATATCTTGCTAATTTAAAACTACTTCATTCCATGTGAAACGTCTTCTTTTATTTTTTTCATTTATGCCAAAGTTAAGTTAAAACTATTTCACACAAAACTTTTTAACCGCATGCTCGGGGGCTACATCTGTACCATCTCTAAACAATATGAAATTTTCAACTCTTTCTTAATTTCCATGGTCTGTAAAAGTTGAACATTCATTTTGAGAGAAAAGTTAGTCAAGTTGCATAATAATAATAATAATAATAAAAATAATAATAATAATAATAATAATAATAAAAATAAAAACAATGTACCCTACAAAAACTGGATCCTACCCAGTGAATAGTTTGCGCATCATCTCCTCTATCATGGTTACCCTCTCATGTGTCATGGATAGCCTCTTATTGAGCGACTCCACACGGGGCCCATCAGTTCTTTTTTTCTTTTCAGCATTTAATTGCCTCTGAGTAGTTTCTCGCTGTACACCAAGCATCTTGGCAACATTTATGAGGGATGTAACAAGCTGAAGCCCCATCAGTGAAGCAACCTGACGGTAAACTCTTGGAGGAGTACTAAAATCCAAGGGCATAAATAACTAAATTAATTAGATAACTGAACCAGTTAAAGGGCATTTGATAACAATGGAAATCACATACCATGATAATGCAATTATGTAGTCCATACACTTGTCAAATAAGCCCTGATCAAATAGTGGTCCATTTTGACACTCAACAACTACACTGTCCCAGAAAGCCACAAGATTATCCTTGAAAATCTTGAATTCCTTCTTTGAACTTTGATAATCTTCAACTGCACCCTAAGATTTCATGATAATCATGGAAAACTAGGTGCAGAGGTTAATGTATTGGATGATACACAACTTTCAGTCTAGAACATAAGAAGTATGCTAATGTGAAAATTTTGTTCAGAAAATACAGTGTGTATATGGAGCATAGAAATTGTAAATCTAATTAAGAAGGATACTTTGCTAGCCAGATTAACAAGAGCAACTACTACATCGTCAACATCAGTCTTATCCAGGAATTCTTCTTTAATGTGATACTTTGCTCCACATGCCTACATTGTTGAAAGTTTCAAGCATGGTTAACGCATCATATCAGACCATCAAAAGAAAAAAATGGAAGAACTTTAGAAGTTCAAAATTTTCAAGAACAAAACACCTCAAAGAGCATTGTTAGAAGTTCAACTGTTGCAGGCTTTGGATCTTTCTCATATCTTTCAACCCAATGTTTAACCAATTGAGGAATTTGTTTCCCATTCCCTTTAATAATCTCTGCAATTCAATTGAAGTTCATCCTCTTAGAATCAAAAAATAAAATGTTTACCAAAAAAAAAAAAGAAAGAAAAATCCTCCTAAATGAGCGCACACAAGAAGCACGTAAATAATTATGTGATATTAGCAACCAAAATAACTTAGGTACACTAAAAGACAATGTAAACAAAGCAGCAACACATAAACATCAAGAATTTGGAAAATGCTTTACTATTCAATAACTGGACAGATAAGCTGGACTTTGTAGATTTCTTAATTTTGCAAGTCAAACAATCAAGTTACAGGTAAAAGATCATAAACTGACATCGAGTAAGGAACTAAGCAAGCTATAAAAGTCATTTCTCCAAAAAGCCGTTAATAGCAGAAACTACAGCTACAAAGTTCAGAGCCAATTGGGAAATCGCAACATGATGAACTTGGTATTTGCTCTGCAAGCTAATTTACTAACTCAAGTAAACTGCAAGTGAAGAAGAAAAAAGGTCCCCTGATTGGAAAACAATTTATCACGTAGAAGAGGACAAGTTGTTGAATGAGACGGTATAACCAATCAGACAACAGTTAAGCAACCGTAAAGTTAAATCTAATTGTAAGAGTACCAGTCATCGACAGAAAGAACTGACAATTCTTAATTGAAAAATGGACCAAAAAGGTCTTGCAAATCCACAACTCCGTAGTGTAAAAAGAAGAATCCTCTAAGGTCGAGGAACTTGTGAAACTCTTCAAGGAAAAAAACCACAACAAATAATCCACGGCAGTGGTAACAAAAGTGAAATATACCAATCAAGCGCTGGCTTGGCTTCCGTCCGGAGGCGGAAACACCAACAGCAGTAGCCCTATTTCTCTTAGCTTTGGAGCGAGATTCTTCAAAATCGTCAGAAGACTCCTCCTCGTTCTCGCTAATTTCTCCACGAGTGCTATTGGCGGCCTTGCTGTGGGGGGCCTGTGGTTGTGCTCGGTCGTCGTTGGCTCTAGTCTGAGCCCTAGTTCTTTTCTACTTGGGAAAAAATTAACAGGAATTAGGCAACTAACCGGAAAAGACGAAGATATACGGACCTACACCAACCAAAGTTAACTTGGAAAACAAATAAAACTAACCGAACGGCGAGTGACGATCTCCGATGCGACTTGCTCGTCTTCCATCAAAAGTACACACGGCTACAGCCTCCTCTCTGTTTGCCGTACGGCGAGAGAGAAATACTAGCAGTGAAAGTGAATGAGTATGGTGGGGAGCGGAGAAATGGAGCTTTGCCTAGGGTTAAAAATTAGTATGAGAGAGCTATCTAGAGTTTGTGATTTGTGTGAATGAGCGAAGTTAAATCCCAAACCTCCCGCCAACAAATTCAGGAGAAAGTTTAGAAATATGCTGCTGCTCCTACACAACTTACGCTTACTAGCAGTTCGTCTATAATAATCAGAGGGAGGAGCGGAAAACCCCCATAATACGGTGACGCTGTCTTGCTTCAGAAGCCTCTCTGTCCAAGACGGACAGTGGTGCTTGCCGCTGTGGAGCTGGGGTCCGGTCCGGTATAAAATTCCTTTCCTTTCTACTCTTTTTTCGTCCCTCCATGGGGAAATTTGCAAATTTGTTGAGCTTTTTCTTTCTGGATTTCTCGAGTATCTTTTTTTTTTTTTTAACTATCAGTTGGTTTGTTTGGATAAAGTATTATTTAAAATATTGTTTCGAATAATTATTATACTATTTTTAATAATATGATATATATATAAAATAAAAAAATAATTAAAAATATAAATTAGAAAATATGCTTCCGATGCAAAAAAATATTATTTGAAAATAATTGATATCCAAACACAGCCACATGTGTATTATTCACTCAAGACATCGGCCTCCTGCGACTTCCATGTAGACAACCGTCTAAGCTAATTAATAATTAAACCCAACACTAACTTGACCTTAATATATAGCATAAAATAATATCAAATAATGTAGAATTCTAATTAGCTTGGTTTAAAACTCCTTAAAGGCATCAAGAAACCATAAGCGGGGAAAAAAAAAAAAGAACCACCATCTATGACGAGATTTTAACGAGTTATTATACCTAAGCTGAAGGTTTCAAACGGCTCTTTTTCTCATTATCTTAATTCACATAATTTACCCCTGGATGCATGTACTTGGGACTTATAAATACAAAAGTACATTGGGCAGACGTGCAACTATTACCCAAACAAATTCTGCGGTACAATTGTCGGATCCACGCTGCACAAGTCAATTGCCATGGTACCCATGTTTACGTGAAAGCATCGGGGCATCAAGGGCTTACTTGGACTTCCATTAAACCAGACAAACATATTGCTTCCTCCCTGATCACCCGAAGACCTCATGTCATGTCGGCTTTGGCAATGAACAAGGTGGACATGATCAGGATGCGCTAGCCATTGATTCAATTAGAAGCTGGTAACCTTCAGGAACAGCTGACCGTGTATGGACACATTCAGCCAATGCAGGGACATCAGCATTGATGTCCAAAAACCTAGCCAGCAAGAGTAGCAGATGGAAGTCAGAAATTCGCTTCACAAATGGGAGGTTCTTTGCTCGGTCCAGATGGCTTCTCAAAGCTTTCATGGTGACAAGATCATTTCTGTTCTCAATTGGAAATGTTGATGAAAGAGGACCCTGCATCATATATAATAATTGGTGCGTGTTAAAAGCATCTTAGAATAGGCATCCAAATCTACGAATTTAAGTTACAACCACAAATTCACAAATTCAAAAACAAAAATTAAGGTAAAAATATCCTTAGAAATACAAAACCAGCTCAAAGAATAAAATCAATGCACTTGACCTCAAGGATAGCAAGTATAGAATTACTCAAACAAAAGACCAAAGTTCCAAAAGGAGGTACAGTAACCAAGTCAAAAGCTAAAACATACAACCATTAGTTCTGATGTAAAGTACTCTAATTTAAGCATTCATAGCAGCAGTATGCCTATTGCAACTAGGGCTAAGAGCTAACGTATACAAGGTAAGCAACTGCAACACACAACACAAGCAATTAGTAATGACTGATCCAATCATCAGTACAGGTGGATAAAGCCAGTTCGAAAATGAGAATGCTAAAATTATACAGCAATTAATTATAAAATTGTCTGACATTTATGTTGGATGTCAAAACTTATCAGTCCTAGCCCCAAGCTCAAACCTGAACCCTAAAAAACTCCTAGTTTTCATCACCTTGCCATTCTCCCTTTTCCTGATTAGTCTATTTAGACAGTATGCAATACACTAATAGCAAATAACTCAACATACAATAAAGAGATGGCATCATATAACAGATCAACTGCAAATAGCCATTGGGATTATATACCTGTGGCTTGTAATCACCTAAGAAGGCAATCATCTTGAAAAAAGAAAAATATGGGAGAACGTTAAACTAACCCCCATACTTATGCATCGTACAACAGAGCTACCACAAACTTGAAGCCTTTTCCAGGACTTTGACACACATTTACTTTCATAAAACTACTTGCCAGGATTGAACATTACATCACCTAGCCATTCTCCCTTATATGCAGTTTATTTACAAATCAAATGATATGTCTTGTGAACATCACATCAAGCGCAAAATAACATGTCATAACACATACAAGGATACTTGTATTTAACTAGTTATTAAATAAGAAATCCTTCTTCAAATACAACTTAATATAGTTCAAAGAAAAACTGGAAAGGGATACAACGCAAAAAAGGATTGTCCACTCTAGATAAATCACAGGTGTATATAGACTGGAGAGAAGGAGAAAATATCAGAATAGCAAAGTAGAAAAGAAAGTTCAACGCTTCCAGATCCAATAAAGATCTATTATGCCATGTCCTAGTTCTTAGTTCATGTATGTAAATTATTTGAATGGTCTTGTAAAACTGAATGCCATGGATAAACTTAGGACATAGTATAACTATCTTTTTCCTTTTCTACCTGGTTCCAAATCTACATTGCTTTGGAAGCCAGCTAATCTCAACCAGTGGAACCACATCTCGGTCTATCAAACTCAAGCATACTAAGTACTATGCACCAGCCTCTTGTATACTTCCTAAATAGCTTCTTTTTGCACTGAAGCACAACATAAAACCATTGTCTGCTGACAAACCTAGTGAAATAAAGCTCATAGCAGCTTAATACTATCAGGCAAGCTCTTGCAAGATTAGATTTTTCCTGTCAGCTAAAACCATATTCACTTGGTACATTCATTTGACAAGAAGGTTAGTCTAACATTCATGATCAGAATAGCTTTCAAATGAAAAAGAAAGTAGGAAAGCAGTATGAAGCTGAGATGGCCGCTACAAAAGCCATACCAATGATCAAAGATTATAGGTGCTAGTAATTCTCTTATCCATGGATAAAGGCTCCAGGAGGCTAGCCAAAAGAGGAAACCAAAAAGATGACACGGTTCAAATTCAAATCCTAGACATCCACATTTAAGATCACTTCCAAGTTACAATAATGAAGGAAAAGTCTGCTTGTATTATACCAAGTTGAAAAGGAACCAAAACGTCCAGAATTTTGGAGCAATCAAATTTCTCCCATTTTCAAGGTCAAGCAACCGAGATACAAAAAAGGAACTAATGGCTTCTTATCTCTAACAATCAGAACACCATGTATCGCAAAGACACTTAAAAAAAATTCTACCGCCACCACCCCCATACCCCAAACAAAGACGAATCTTTCAGACATAAACAATTGCTATGATGTACCTGGTGATCAGAAATCTTGACAACGACCAAGAAGAAGTCATTGTCAACCTCTTTAGTATCTTTCACTCCGACTACAACATCCTTTTTCATTCTAGATAGCTTCGGATCAAGCCCTTCCGGAATTACTGTCTCAAACCATCCTTCCTTGAACAACCTAATGCACATATCGCTCATCTGAAACGCCTCAAAATGCACATTAGCAAGCCCATCTTCATTCACCTCCAGCTTCACCACCGCCGTGACCCACTCCTTCAAATCGCCCTCAGCATGCAGCTCGGCAGCCTGCAAAATCTCGGCATTGGACATGGTGAAATCCTTCTTGTCCTGACTAATGGTCTGCGTAAATATAAATCCCACTTTCCTCATCCCCAACCCCGCAGCTATCGCTTCCACCAGTTTTTCCTCATCTGGATCGCGCAAGAGAATCAAATTCTCATCCGTCCCCTGCTGCGGCGGCTCGTATATAAAATCCACCTCCACTTTTCCCTCCGGAGACACCGTTCCGTACATAAAACCCCCGCGCTTCACCGCAAAAGCCAGGGTATCGTTTACATAATGCTGGAAGGCGTTAGCGGCGTCGCGATCGAAAGACACTAATTCACAGTGAGAAACCTCTTGGCGCGTAACCCGCATTTGCTTAGCGATGAGGTCATCCATGGTCATCTTCTTGCCGAAGGAGCCGGCGGGGTTGATGAGGGGGCCACCGGCGACAGTGCGTTCGCCGTCGTATGCGAGAAAAATGATGGAGCCGTGGGTGAGGTTGAGGGAGGAGAGTGGGGTTTGGGGATTGGACATGTCGGTGAACCTGGAGAGATCATCTAGGGTTTTGGCCAACAAGAGGTTTTGATTGGTGGAGAGGGTTTGGGATTGGGTGGGAACCCGGAGTTGGGATTCGATTTGGGATTTGAGTTCGCCGATTGTGGATTGTGGGTTTTCGATTTTGAGTCTTTCCAGCCCATCTCTGCTTCGAATTCGTAGCATCATCTTCGCCGTCGCAAACCTTTTTTCTCCGGCTAGGAAAGTTGTCTTTAATTTGGGTAATATATACCGATATACGCACGAACTAGTGGTAGGTAGTGGTACCGGTAGCAGAGCAGAAAATACACTACTATATAACGATGATATGATGAATCGTGTGCCTCAAGTTGATTATCACCTCTAAGCTAGGCGGGGAAGTTTGGTATGTTAATTACCAGAGGAGATCCCAATGGAGATCAGCTCCCAAGAGGATTAAGGAATCTCTTCTCTGGCCGAGTGCAACTTGGAACAAGAAAAGAATGGCTTGTAGAGCCGCACACGTTAACTACTTAACTCGAGTTTGTTCTAAATTCCAACTACAGGATACATCTTTCCTTTTGCTTTTTTTTTTTTTTTTTGGGTCTAGCAAATTTTTTTTTTTTTTTGTGTGACTAAGGCTGTTATTTTTATGAGATTCTTTCCTATCCAATCTTCTTCTTTTCTTCAAGATAACTAATTAGTGTGTTTGAATAGTATATTATTTGAAATAATTTTAAATATATATATATTATAACATTTTTTGATATAATATATAAAATAAAAAAGTGATTAAAAATTATACCGATGACACAAGCAAATAAATTTTCATAAATAATTCAATATCCAAACAAACATAATAATGCTTTAAATTGGGTGTAAATAAAGAAAAATCTAATTACACTGTACATTAAACTTATGGTATAACTTCAATGACTTTTCAAAAATCTTTTGGAAAAGTGAAAACATGCCAATGATGCATTGATGTCCATTTCCTTACAAATTCCTACCCTGATATGTCACGCGATTGAATGAAAAGTGTAAAATACACCTCTAAAACTTGAATATTATTAAGGTTTTTTCAATTAAGACAAAGGATGAGCACGTATAATATAAAGTGTGGGCTCAATAAAAATTTAATTATATCAATCCACCCTCCATCTGGCAAGGTGTTTTTGTCAATATTCAACACTTGGCCCACTCCTTATATTTAGTGTCCTAATGAAAACCCAAAAAAAAAAAAAAGATGTTAAAGGTTTGAAATTCGAATTCAAATCACAGCACTGAGTTTGTTTGGATAAGAATTTATTTGGATAATTTATTTGATTCAGTTACTGTAGCATTTTTTGTGATGTGATGTATGTGAGATAAAAAAATGATTGGGAATTGTGTGTATGATGCAAGCAAAACAAAATCTGAAATTTTGTTTCCAAAACCACAAGTTGTCCAAACAAACTCAGTGCTGCCGAATTTTAGGCTTTTCAGCCCTCACTCCTGGGGGAAGCCCAACCAAACCGAAGTTATGGGCCTCATACTACAAGGCTTCCTTTCAGATCCACACCGTAATTCTTTTGGTCTGACTTGAGTGTCGGACTCTGCAGCCCAACGTCTTATTCCTTCGCTTTGTTAATTTTGAATGGCAATACGATATGTGTGATTCACGACTCATTGCGAGAATCTTTTACCATCGACTTTTGGATCGGAGATTGATCCATTTTTTACCTCCACCTTGTAAGATTTAAGATTTATCCTTACCGTTTCACTTAACACACACACACAAGAAAATGATAAGTTAGGTAATTTGGAAGAAAAAATGTAAGTAAGAAGTTCGATATTCGAAACTTCATACATACACTTAAAAAAAAAAAAGTTAAAAAACACGTACACACGCATTTTATGATATACCTTAAATGCATTAGGGCTATAATATCCTACCATATGGTAAGAACCCCCCATCTTATTGTGGATCGTGTCTTATATATATTAGTGGGAAAAACATACTCTATGGGTATTCAAAGTAAGAAAAAATAAAACATTTAAATGTTTACTGCCCAAGCAAAGATAAATGGTTGATTGTCGTATTTGAGTTTAATAATCCATACTAAGTGAAGACTCGAGAGCCGTTGAAGCCAATAAAGCTCAAGGGACAATTTCAGAGTCCTCCCTGAGGTTTCTAATTATTTCACTTAACTCTCTTAAAGTTTTAAAATTTATATTTGCCTCCCTTAAATTGCCAGTATTTGTTGTTTGATAATTAACTATAACAATAAACCCATCACTTTAATGGATTACTTTTCATGGCACTTTATTGGAGAAATAAATTATTTTTAAAATCGAGAAAAAAGTATCATCTTAATTTTTTTTTTAAGTTTGTGTACTAGCTGAGTGGTGGAACTACCATGTTTTGGTAGTGATTTTGGGCCTTTTTTTAGGTTAATTTTAATTTATTATTGATTTCGATAACAAAAAACACAAATAAGAGCTATGAAAAAATCAGATGATGTTAAAAGTTACAAAAAAAATGTTACTAGTTTGATGTTTGATCAAGATAGAAATTAGGGACAACATTAATTAATCTTTGGTTTTTTTTTTGACTAAATATAAGAGAAATGAATAAGAAGCAAAAGAAAAATAAATTATAAAATCCATTATTTGTATAAGCATAACAAACAAGAGAGTTTCATTATAATGGTAAGGCTAGTACTATCGTTTTAAATGGATAAAGAAGATAGGTGTAATTTTTAAAATTTTAAAAGAATTAAATAAAATCATTAAAAACCTTCAAGGATGGTTTCCGAAATAATCCCAAAGCTCAAAAGTTGATTGAAAAAATAGGTCATATGTTCATATTTTTTTTAATATAAGTGAGAGTTTTCAAATCAAAATCTCTCACTCACGCTCATTGCTCGTATTACCCAATATATTGCTTCCCCAAGCTGCGCTACGTTCAGTGTTCTATTCTCCGGTTTTTTTTTTTTTTTTTAGTTGAACTTGTGGGGTTTTGGTTTATGATTTTGGCTCATTTATGGAGATTGGAAAAGAAAACGCTACCATAATTCCTGAAATTTGTCTTTTGTCCGCGGGAAGGCGACATAAAATGAGAATCACCCGCCAAAAGGCCACAAATGTTCCACGCACACACGAGCACAGCTGCGGGAAAGAAATATCGACGGTGATGGCCATTGGGCAGAACCACCACCACTCACCACCCATCACCGTCCCAATCTTATGGCCGCCTCAATTATCCATCCACGTCCCAGGCACCACCATATCCTTTACTGTCTCCAAAAACAAAACAAAAATAAAAAAAATAATAAGAGGGCAGACGCGGCGGTTGAGTTAACAACCTCCACCTACGCATTCGCAGTTCGACACGCACCGGTGTAAAAGTCTAAGACCTTGTTCGGAATTTTTTTTTTCCTACAAAAAGTTTTTTTAGATTTTTTTTGAAAATATTTCCTCAGTACTATATATTTTCTCACTAACTTTTTTTTTAAAAAAAAAATTAACGTTTCTCACATCTCACAGGAAAAGGAATAAAAATAAAAAGCTAGATTATTACTATTTGTCTACAACAAATTCCAAAAAGTAAGCGAGACGATGATGATACTCTTAGGCTGGGTCATGGGTCCCTACGAGTGGCACATCCGTGATAATGGATAAAACAGAAGGCTTAATATGGGAAGCCAAGGGGACAAAAGTAAAATTTGAAACCGAGTGGCCGTTTGAACTTTGAACTTTGGAGTCCCAACTCCCAACTCCATCCATCCATACATATAAGTCTAGACTCTAGAAAGAAAGAAAGAAAGAACTAGTCCATAGTCCATACACAGAAAGAAAGAAGACGGAGAGAGAGAACGTCCAAACTTCCTTCAAACTTGAAAATAACTCTTCATTCATTCATTAACCACCCCAACTTCCCTTCCAAATTACTCCTCAGTCACAACTACTCACTCGAAAAAATTTTTTTTTTTTTTTTTCACTCCTTACTTCTTAGAGATTTGCTCCTCTATAGAGCAGTTGGACCAGTCAGTGTTGAGGAGCGGAGAGATCACGCACTCCTGAGGCTGCTGGATATCAGTCAAATGAACACGACAGGCATGGTTATGATATCTAATGGAGGTGGCTGCGGTGGCCATGGAAAGGGCTCTTCCTCTACTGCTACTTCTTCCAGAGGAGGAGGAGGAGGAGTTGTTGTCGGCACAGAACAAAGCCGCCGCCAGCAGCAGCAGCAGCAGCTGTCGTTGCTGGAGTTTCTTGTAGCTGCCTTGAGGAAGTCCATGGTGTCTTGCCGAGTGGATCGGCAAGAGGAGGCCCCAATCTCCGCCGCCCTCCATCCCATTGAAATCGGGTGGCCCACCAACGTCCAGCACGTTGCCCACGTCACTTTCGACCGCTTTCATGGCTTTCTGGGTCTACCTCTCGAGTTCCAAGTTGAAATCCCCTCTAGAGTCCCCAGTGCCAGGTATCTGAATTCTGTCCTAAAACCAAGCAAACCCAACGACATTTCATCCTCTCCTTCCTTTTTTTTTTTTTTTTTTTTTCCGTTCTCCTTTTGGGTTCCTAAATTTCTCTGGGCAGTTACCAAAATCTTGTCTTTCATTACGTTTTCTAATTCTTGTCTGTCTTTCTAATTCTCTCTGTATTCTTCTTCTGGTTGTTGGTTTAGATCTGAACCAGCTCACAGTCATTAATTCCTTCCCTGATTTCTGTCTGCACTCTTTATTATTAATTATTCACTGGCGAAATTTTCATAGATTGACGTACGAGGAACTGAATACTGCGAATATGATTATTTATTGAATCAGCTACAGAGCTGGGTAAACGAGCACTGACCGGTCCCCCAAACCTTCTCAAGGAAATGATGAATACACGGGCTAAAGTAGAATGTGATACTACTATCACTTACGATGCCATCTCTCTGTTATTTTCCCTCGTTATTAGCAATTTTTTTCCCAAAAAAAAAAAGGAAGGAAGAAGATAAAGATAGTGGAGCTTAACTAGTAGTAAGTACTAATTCTGGTAGGATATGTTATTCGCGTTGACATATTTCTGAGAATTGTAATATACAAGTCAAAAGGAGCTCTTAACAATAATTGATCTCTAACTACACATCAAGGCCATTGGAATTTCTCGCACTTCCCGAAATGGTACTGCACTGTAGGGTATTCATCAGTCACGAAATGGTAATGCGCCTTAGGGATTGCAATTTACTGTTTGCTTTGGCGGATGGGAAGATTAACGCTGCAAGTGATTCTGGATGTTATTTCACTTGATTAACACCTGACACATTGGTCGTTTTGTTCATGCAGTGTGACTGTATTTGGAGTCTCTGCGGACTCAATGCAGTGCTCTTATGATACAAGAGGCAATAGTGTCCCAACAATTCTCTTACTGATGCAAGGGCGACTATATGCCCAAGGTGGTCTCAAGGTATAACGAATCATTCCTATTTAACAATTTGCAGCCTGAAAAGGTTTTCGTGATACTAGTATGGCCGTCACTCTTTCTGC